ATATATAACCCAAGAAACAGGTACTACCTAATCTGATGAAATAGGCCATACAACTAATGACGTGTGGCTCAATTCGATGAATTGACAGGCTCCAATACTGCTCAACTCGACTACTATCTGATATAGAAAAATGTGAAAAGAAATACGAGCTTACAGCTCAGTGAGTGAATAATTTGTAAATAAGTATACTTTTCTTTTATGCATATTTTCTGAAAATTTTAGCTATATTAAAACTTTGAGACATTCTGGAATTTGGTAACACTTTTAAAACTAAACATGATTGCATTATAAAATTCTTTGTTCTTAATTCTTGATAAGCAATTGCAAAGTATAATGACATAATCAATTTGATATCCATGAAAATTTATAAAATATTACTGCTGCTCAATACTATAAGCTGAAAGCTTTATTTTGGAAACTGAATTAACTGAATTCTATAATTTGAAATCTGATAAGCTGTAAAAATACTAAAAAATCACGCCAAAAAGATACCCAATGAATAGCCTTACTCATTTCCAGAGTAATCTCGATGTATAAGGCAAAACCATTCAAATATGATAATCTGAAATCCATAAGCTGAACTGTAAACAGGGAAATGAAAGCTGAAGACTAATAATGCACTAAATATTTAAAATTCACATCAAAATATACCTCATGTAAACATTCACTAATGATCTAAAAGCTATAAAATCATATGCACATAAATTGTCTTATCAATACTCTGTACATGGCCGTAACCCCTCAGTGCACAAGATGCAAACAACATAATCATCTCTATACATGGCTGTAGCCCCTAGTGTATAATAGGTACCTTTACCCACGGTCACAGCCCCTCAGTGAATAAGAGTTACCCTTACACATGGTTGTAACCCCTCAATGTATAGGAGTTAAATATATGACTCTAGTACATGGTTGTAGCCCCTCATTGCACTAGAGTAAGATAATTATATCAATTATTTTCTGATAATTTCAAAACAATCATGCTCATTTACTAATTTCTCGAAAATAAGACATTTTATGTAATTAATATGCTTCTTTAAAATAAAAAGAAAATCTTTTTTTTTTTTGGAAAAGAAGGTTTTCCGCTCACCAAGACAAGCTATAGGCTATGAATGCCAATAAGCTTTTCCAATATCTTAGTCACCACCTTGTTGAAATTGGAAATTAAGTAATCCCCAAGCTTGAGCTCCAATTCGTACTTATCTCACCTCTTTTCTTCTTCCCTTTTTCTTCCTTTCTTTCTTATTCTTTTCTTCTTTCTTTATTCTTTTCCATTTTTCTTCTCTGTCTTGGCCTTTATGCTTCACTTCCCGATTTTTCTAGTATGTGTGTGTGTGTTTTTGGGAGACAAAATGCTCAAAGGTTGAATATAAATGCCCACTTAATAAAAATTGCAAGGGAAGTCCCTCAACTCCATTTTAATATAACATTTAACCCTTCTAACTTCCCTTAATATAAATGTAAATTCCCAACTTTAAATTGTATCCAATTAAACACTCATATATTGCCAATTATAAAATAAACCCCAATTTTTTATTGACTTTGACCTTGACTAGTCAGTTTTTGATTTTTGACCAAGAAAATTTGAATTGTAACACCTTTAGTGGACAAGTCCAGAAAACTAAGCTGCGTAGCAGAAGACGAAGAGAAATGGCTATCCAACGGGATCTTCGGCCTTCAACCGAATGCCTTTTACATGCATTGAGCACTTTCACATAGCAACTAACCCAAAAATCAAACCCTCACTATATATTACATATATACTGCATCTTCATATATGTATATCATGTATTGACTAGGGAAGGAAACCTTATTGGAAATTTTGTTGTTCCTTTTGAATTTTAGGACTCCAATAATTTCAAAGATGCACTCAATATTAGACAATATGATAATTGTAAAGCGTCTTCTCTTTCGAAGACTCCAGTTGGTTGTAACATTTTAGTATAAATACATTATTAATATATCATTCTTTTGACATCCAAACCTAGCACTTTCAACCCATTTATTTTTTTTTCTTTATATGGTATCATAGCCAAATTAAACTTGCACTTTTTTTTTCCAGGTTCATAAATCCGCAAATGGCCTCATCTGAAACAAATTTCTCTCCCCTCAACTTTGAAAGCAATGGCATAAATGGATCCTTTAACCTTCGTTATCTTCTTCCTGCCTCCTTCAAGCTTGAAGGACCTAACTATCTAGGATGGCAATCGTTGTCTCTACCATTTTCCAACCAATTGCGGTCAATGATGGCTCATATAAAGCATTAGTTATAGACACTTGCACAAGGTGGTTGCACCATTTATGACTATCTTCAAATTGCTAAGTGCTAAGGCTCTTGCTGATCAAAGGACTGCAACGGGTTTTGTCCTCCAATACTGTCATTTTGCACTCATTTTTAATAAGCAGAAGAATAGTCTCTCACAGAAAAAAGAGACCTCCCTGCAAACAAATTGGCCCACACCAAATACTCGAAATGATGGTTCCTCCAATGTCCTGTAGTATACACAAGCGTCAATTCCGAATCAGGGACAATATGCACTAGGAAATCGGCCCATATGTTAAATATGTGGGAATACATGTCATATTGCTCTTGACTACGTCCACATATTTTATTTTTCATACCAAGGCCGACATCCTCGTGCCAAGCTTACAGCAATGGTCGTTGAATCTAACAGTGCTTATAAGCACCAAGTATAGCATGCTGAAGGTTGGGCCATTATGTTCTATATAAATGCCCATTAGAGATGAATTATGCTCCTTTGCCATATAAATGGTGACAAAAGCAGTGATTGATTAGAGATTGCATTATTAGATGCAAAGCCAACAAGACGATGTCGGGTCCCATCAAAAAAGGGAAAAGTAGAACCCGAAAAAAGGGGAAAAAATAATCCAGCTATTTATCTAAACATTTTAACTTTTTATTTTTTAACTACACTTCGACCCAAGTTCAGTTTCGTTTCAACCCATTAGCTATTGAGGTTCTTGATCTTTTCTTTTCAATGCCAGTCTAATTTTTAAAACACTAATTTTACTAGTAAAGTCTCGACCACCTTGATCATTGTCACAAGTTAGCTTCCGTCTGAACCCCATTATTTCAATTTATAATTTCTGAAATATTATTTTTTTGAAGAATGTGTGTGAAAAGGGAAAAAAAGGTTTTTAATTTATGTGTAATATTATTTTATAGAAGATTGTGTGATTGAAAATAAGAGAGAAAAAATTATAATTTGAAATAATAGGAGCCAAATGGGGGCTTAGTTGAATTGAATATGCCTTTAATAAGAAACTAGCACACGCTTGGAAATAAAACATATCCTATCCTATCCTACATATATAAAAGAACGAAACTTTGCTGGACACATGTCGCAATTTCACATCGCCTTCTTTTTCTTTTTTTCTTCATTTTATTGTTTCTCCATTTTCCCACGCCATCGGCCATACCTCTTTCCTTCTCCATTTTTCCACGTTATCGTCATACCTCTTTACTTCTCCAACACAATCACCCATTTACCCAAGAATACATGACTTCTACACGGTGCTACCCTGATTCATGAATTAAAGTTTTTTCTCTCATTCTCTTCCCTAATTGTAAACTTTCTCTGGATATTGATCAGAATTTTAGCCGCCTCATTTGCCTACTTCCAGGTAATGATTTTAAGAAATGGGTTTAATCTTGAACTTATACAACCCATTCTTCTCTTCAATTCTTAAGTCTCATCATTTCTTTTTAGCTCTTTAGCTCCTTGCATGGACGGAGCAAAATGCTCCATGCATGCATGGAGCATTGGAGAAATTTATTATTATTATTATATATGCTCATTCAGATTTTCCTTTTTTTTTTTGTTTTCATTTCTAATTTTTGTGTGTGAGTATATGTTTATTGGATTTTGTTTATTGTTAGTATGTTGTAAGCGTCCTGTTACCAAGAGTACTAAAAATGATCTTAATATTATGTTTCATAAAATGTGTATATGCTAGAAGGTACTATGTGATGCAGATATGTTTATATGTGGCATGCTTTAGCTGGATACTGGGAAGGAGTTCCCCTTCTTTTGAATCACTAAAGAAGTACAATCCTAAGCTTGCTTATCCAGTTCGATCGTTGGGAAATACACCATAAGTTCCACCATAAGCTCTAATAATTGTACGAAGTATTTTCTTCATTTTAGATTGTAAGAGCAAGCATATTTATACTAATCAATGTCTTTATATTTCCTTTTGGAAGGCTCCTAAGGTTGATGAGTTGAAGTTTTTTGCATCCCAACTTTACTATAGCAATTCTGAAGGTTTGGTTTCAACTGGAAAATTGATCGAGGTAATTTCAAAGATACATTGCTTCCATAAATGTTTTGTTCATGCAATTTCATCAATATAAAAAATATGATCATTGGAGCTACATAATAACTTAAAAGAAGGGGGCATAAAGTAAATGTCTTGCGAGGCTATGGGTGTTGGGATTTGAATCCAAAATCACCACCATATATTAATGTGTGGAATTAATTGGTCCTAAATAACTATGTTAACTAAATGCCAAAGTATATTTTTTCGTTCGCTTATTTAGTTGATTAATTAGTGCAATTACATTCAAGACAATAGTATCTCCAACTTCGATTACTTCTATTTGGGAGTGCTTGATAAATGTAATTTGTGCACTTATTTAGGCCACATTATTAAACTTTAAGTCATTAAATTATTAATTTATATTTAACTTTGATCAATTTTCTTTTTGTTTTCCGTGATGGACTTGTCGGAAGCAATTGAAGAGAAAAGGACGATTATCGAATAAAAAATGCAATTTTGGGATCAAACTCCACGTGCTAGAAATTGAAAGACTTAAGTGCATTAATTATAAGGAAGCGAGGCCTTGAACGATAAATTGTAACTAATTGGGCCTCAAATAAATGGAAAGTGAAAAAGAATACTTGGGCCTCAATAATTGTAGAAAATGGGCTGCCTTGGGATTTATAAAAGATAGATAGAAAACGGCAGCCAGGAGAAAAAGGAAAACGGAAGAAAAACCTAAAAGAGAATTTAGTCTTCTTTGGGGAGTCAACAAAAACGGCTGCTAGAGGGGAGAAAAGAGGAGAATTTGGACGGCTGCTGGCAGGAAGAAATTGAGTAACAGTAGGGCTGCCGAACTATATTATATATATACACATTGGGAGGCCGCTAACGGAGTTGCTGGGGAATTAAAAAGGCAGCTGCTTGGAGGAAAATAAAAGTTGGCGTTGAAAGTCAGGCATTGCAGGCTGTGGGAAGAAAGGAAGGGAAGAATTCTTGGGGCTTTGCTTTGGAATTCAATCACAGTGGCAGCCAAATTAAAGGAAGCAAAACGGGAGAATAATCTAGAGAAAATTGGTCCCTTTTTGGAGTTAAAAAAAAAAAAAAGGATGCAACTGGGGAAATTAATTAGAGATAAATACATACAAGAAGAGGCGCTTGGGGGGTCAACATAGATAAATACAAGCTGTTGAAATTGGGCAGTAAAAAAGGGCAGAGCTGCTGGGAAAGAAGGCAAAGAAAAAGGCTGATTTGGCTGATTTATATATATATATACAGCAATTGCGGCAGAAAATTTAAAGGAATTGGAGACTAATCTATAGACAAAAAGGCAGCCAATTGGGGGATTAATACACATTGATACACACGGAACCGAGAGGAAGAAAAACCATAGAAAAGCTGGTTGGAAATAAGAGATTTCACATTGGATTCGAAGAAAGGCTGCCGGCTGAGTTTTTTGTGCAACTTTCTTCAATAATTGTGCAAGGAGCTTGAAAATTGAATCACTTCCCGTCGATTTTCGGTGATTTCCTTTCACTTTTATTTGTTTAATTCAACATGATGCTAGGCTAAATCTTTACATATTTGCGCACCATTAGGACAATAAATTGCTTATTCGTAGTATTGGAAAACTCATGATAGGTATAGTACTATTATTGGTACACACGGACAATAAATATTAGGAATAATATTTGTGACGTGTATGATCATATGTGATAATCTTAAATGTCAATGCATGTTTGCCATATGAATTCGGATTAGAAATAGGTTCGTCTTGTGGTAACCATAGGCTTATCATATCTTAGAAGAGAATAATAAATAAAAGTGAAATTATCGATTGTCGCAATGGCAAAAAATTTACATAGTTATTACTGGTTGAGAATTAGAATTAAGTATTGATCAGTGGCGTCAAAAATCTAATACGTTGATACATTTGATTTTTAAACCAACTTTCATTGTTTTCACAAGTTTTAGTTATAAAAATTCGTTAGCTATTCATTCGATCTTTTTTATTACAAACACGAATTTAAATATATCAAATATACTAGAATGATCATTATTTCCTGTGGGACGATAACTCTCTCATCATGATTATTACTTGTACAACGAACCCATATGCTTGCGGAATTGTGAATTTGACTGCATTATTACTCCTTGGAATCTACTTAGCTTTTACCTTGATAGCGTCTTTTAGGTATAGAATTCTTTAATTCAAATATTTTGGTTAAAACTTTATATGAAATAATGTTTATGTTATATATCATTATTTTATTTCAATTATTTGTGAATCAGAGGTTGCAAGCATATATGAGAATATAGGAAATGCGCAAGAAGCTCAAACTTCTTTACTATGGGAAAGAGCATATCCCAATTTGAGGCTTGACACTTTTTGGAATTTATTTTTCTTCTATGTTTAGATGGTTGTTTTATTTTTTTTCCCTTACTTTATCACAATTTAACTAAAGATATTAATGGTATGTTTGATTGCAAGCATCGAATCTACATGAAAAGAAAATAATTTCTAGGCAATTGAAAATTGTCAATTAAAGTGTTTGATTTATTTTATTTTAAACCTAGAAAATGTTATACTTGTCAATTTTTTATTAATAGGTAAATAGAGGAGAGAGGGAGGGAGTAGATGAGAGAGAAAAAGAGAATGAATTACCTGGAAAATAAAAATCTACTCTCCTCAAGGAAAATATTTTCCTTGTTTTGAAGGAAAATATGGTCATGTGATCAAAAGTAGGAAAATATTTTTCATGGAAAAATATCAATTAAAATAGCTAAGAAGTAGGAAATTGGTAGAAAAATATTGGCAATTAAACACACTATTAACTTATATTAGAACTTTATCATGAAGATTATACGGCAAAAGATTTTGTTGGAGCTAGTTAGAAAACGATTTACGTTGTATATGATAATCGGGCAGCTATTACTTGCACGAAATGTTCAAATTCTCTGAAAGTGACCATTAATTAGGAAATAAGAGATTTACTTTTATGTAAATCTTATAGGAATGTAGAAAGGTCGCTTATCAATGAATTATATCGTGTTAAATATTTGTACATATTGACATTAAATAAGTTAATTTCTTCTGAGTGGAGGCATGTTGACTATAAGTCATTAGATAAGAGAGTTCATTTGGTGATTGTGCAAAAGAGACTAAGAGCTTGTTTGGGAGTGATTTTTCACCCCAAAAAATTGATCTTTTGATCGTTATTTCACTATTCCAGCTGTGAAGTTTGACTTCTTCTCTCGTGGGTGGCCCCCACTTTCCTCCTAACGGTCACAAAATCATTCTCAAAATCACTCTCAAACGGGGCCTAAAAAAAATTACAGTATGATATACTCAATCTTGTATTGACTAGTTTTGAGACTAATCAAGCCTTTGTGATCGGATATGTTGGCGGTGTGTTTATCTTGAAACTGTTAAATTTGATTCTTTGAGGATATTTATATACATGAATTGGGACTTTGTCCAAAAAAAGCTTTCTCTAAAGCTACTGATTAGCTTGGATAATATGATATTTAATTATTTTCAATTTTTAATCGGTCCATGTTTTTCTATTTATCTTATCAAATTTAATCTATTAGTACTTACTAGCATTTGAATATGTGAAATTGTAAAGTAAATAGCAAGTTCTACCATATAAGATATCGTAAAAAAATTGGTAATATACCATCGCTTACTCTTTCTTTAATTACGACTTTATCCTCCTCCTAGCATAGCCTCTTGCTTTGATCCAAAAATTGACTAAGGACAGAAGCAACCTACAAGCATTAGCAACCGCTTTCGTTTTATGGAAATGGGATCCCCAATAGCTAGAGACAAAAGATTCATATGAGAAAACATAAGTAAACGGGCCTCCACTTGAGCCTCCAAAGATAAAGGTACATGAACAGCCATTTGATCCCCATCATCAAAATCTACATTGAATTTCTTACAAACTAATGGATGTAAAAAAATAGCATGCCCCTTCACTAAAACGTGCTGGAATGCTTGTATGCCTAATCTATGCAAAGTGGGTGCTCTAATCAGCAATACAGGATGTCCCTACATAACTTCCTGAAGTATTTCCCATACAATCTGTTCTTTTTCTTGAATTTTACTCTTAGCAACTCCTATGTTCGACGCAAGATGTTGTCTAATTAGACCACGAATTACAAATGTCTAGAAAAGCTCTATTGCTATTTCACGCGACAATCCACATCGATGTAATGAAAATGAAGGACCCACGACAATGACGGAGCGACTTGAATATTGGGTTATTCATTTTTAGTAAGTTACTATTTAACCTCATTATTTGAAATTGTAGAGTAATGCTATATAGCCACATTGGGTTGCCCTAGTTTAGCTGATCCAGATGATAGGCTAAATGAAAGGTGAAATTAAATGACTTATTTAATTTCACTTATTATTTAATGTCAAGTTAACGCCACCTAGACTGGGGTTGCAACCCTAGTGGGGTTAATAGGATTACTCAAAATTATATGGTTGGGATATTGTTGTTGCTATTGTTGTTGTTGTTGTTGTTGTTGTTGTTTTTTTAAATTGTGTGATTAAAAAAGATGAATTTTTTTTTTGGGATTATGTATAATATTATTTTATTGAAAAATATATATTTGATAAGAAGATAGAGAAAAATGAATTATAATTTTAATAGGGCCAAACACATGTTAAATAATGTATGCAAGTTGCAGAGATTGTAAAGATTGTTTTCTCAAATGGTAATAGTCATTATCTTTAATCATACCATTCTTTTTTCTTTAATATTTAATTGTATTTATTATGCTGGGAATTTTTGTGACTTGTATTGTGAAAAGCATTTGACAGATCAACTTTTTTTTTCGAAGTACGTCAATTTTGTGTGGCAATAGTTCATCGTGTTCCCATCAAACTTTTTCGCCTAATGCTTTGTTTATTAACTCGATTAGAATCAATTTTTCTAAGGATGTGTTAACTGTTGAACAAGCCAATTTGCTGTATTATATATGTAGGTTCACTTTTAGTACTCATCCGGAGATCAGATATATAATAAAAATATTTTTGATTTTCACGTTACCAATAATATAAATGATTGTTTTAATGTATCTTGTTATTGTAAAGTAGAGCACTTTGTTATCATATTTGCACATTGAGACATCCAAGGTCATTTATACTTAAGTCAGCCTTTATAATTTGTTGTGACGTTTTTGCACTTTATCAAAATGTTAGACTGCAATTTTTCTCCCATTGTTGTTATTTAAATGCTAATGTAATGAGAGAGAAATGTCTCACCTTTACTTAATGAATTTCTTGTTTTTCCTTTTTTAATTAAATTTAATATAATGAATTATGAAAATTGGCTTCATATGCACCAGTCTTTGTGCAAGGAAGGCTAAGATGAACATATATTCGTTTGCTTATTTTCATAAATTTATAATTATGCTACTCTTCAAATACACTCTTAAGCACTTTGAAGCTATGTTCTTAGAATTTAACTCATTGAGCTGTTGTTTGTCTATCATTCTCCAAAAATTCTTTTTTTTCCCCATTTTAAACCCATTTTCAATCATACATTATCATAATGAAATATTTTGCATGTGAATTCAAAATTTTTCTTACCTTTCAACCGCACATTATTAGAAAATTACTATTTCAAAAGTTATTCTCCCAAAAAATTCTTTTTAATATGCATCAAATAAGTATTGATGTTGATATAATAAGATTGTATTGTTCTTCTGTTGTCAAAATATGGATTCTAGTGTTCAATTTGAATTTAAATAATTAATATATTATACTTTTGCAACTGGATAAAATATTGAAAGGTGCTTTACTTCAAAAACTATGGGATTTGTAATATCATGCATTCTCTATGAAAAATGGTAAATTTTGATTCTTTTGTACTTTTACATTACAAATGACACAGGTTCCGAATAAGGTGTCTCCCGATGCAACGATTTTGTTAATAGTTGGACGTCACATTGTGGTTCCATTGTTGTAGAGGACATAGCTCCAAAGTTCATAGAGATTATGTAGAGTCGACTAGAATGTTTTGAAAATGGCCCAAATATTGAAGATAGAGAGTCCGTGTGTTCGTTGTTTTTCAAATTGTATACAGTTGATAACATCATCCATCAATTGTTATAGTAAATTCTTTAGATTGATTTTAATGTATTCATTCATGGAACACTTTACTTTTGTGTCGTGGCATCAATTTGCTTGATTATGTTATGAACCTTAATTCATAGCAGCGAATTTATTAACTTTAAAATGATATATTGTTTATTTTTTTATTCAAATTAGTCACGTGCTTGGAAACATGTCATGTTGGGGGCAGTGTTCAAGTTCTTAACATCTTGTATTCAGGAAAGAGATGTTATGTTTTCATCAAGATATTCAGTAAATATCTCTCGTCTATGGATAAATATTTTTTTTCTGAATGCAGAGTGTTTAGAGCTTGGTCATTGCCCCCAACATGATATGTTTTCAAGTACCAATTGAATAAAAAAAAAATAATCCGTCATTTTAATGATAGTGAA